TCCCTTGAATAATTGAACAGTGTGAAAGAAGTTCTCATGTAAATGTAAAATAATTGCCCAAAAATTGTCCATTAATAATGATAATCAAGATGATGCACTTTATGAAAACACTGGACTTGCACCAACTACCAGAGAGTTTTATTTAAAATACTTTCTTTTATTAGTATGCAAATTCTGTAAAGATAAATTTCCATAAGGTTAACCCTATGCATACGAGCTTGGTTATTCTGACGTACATTGTAACTGCCAACTAATTTTGAAACTGTACTTACTGGAACTGAACATACTTGTTGTATCTTCAAGAAATTTGCAAGCTTTTAGTAAATATTACAAGCCTGTCATACAAAAAAAAAAAAACATTTTGTTAATAAAGTATCTTACTAAAGATTTATCTGTGAACTTAGGAAGCCTTTACTGAGTCAGTCTGAGTGAAAGGTGATTTTCATGCTAAGAATATAATGAAAATCTACATATATCATAAAATAAGGATTTCCCTGCAATTAGTAAAAATTGAAAAATATGAAATCAAGTCTAAATTATTATTTTTTCTACAATGATTGCAGATTACATTATTTATCCCATCAGCCTCAACTATCAAACTTTTTCACATCTATTTACTTTTATTGCTTTACAGTACATGAAACACAGTATAGAGTGAGACAGCTTAGTGTAAACAAACTGATAAGTTACATTATGTGACCCCAAACCACATTAATTGAGCAAGCCAGGCAATCGAGCAATCATAAAAATATTTTTATTTAATTTTTGGTCATTTAAGTTTTCTTATCTGACCTAATAAGTTTTTAATTTTTACATTTTAGTTACTTACCTTAGCTTATTTGATAAAACTACTCTTTTAACACTATGTTGTTTTCCAAAAAATTATTGATATTTCTTTCAAATATGCATTTTAGAACACAAAAAAATTCTCAAATTTATTATAAATTAACTGGTTTAATAACTAAGATAAAGATAGGTTAAACAATTTTGTTAGCTGTTCAGCAAATAAAAAATGATCTTGTGGCAAAACAAAATAATTGTATAAGGAGTATTGTAAAGAAAAACCTGCTCTTTCTTTTGGTTATAACTAATCTAACAGTAATGTCAGAGAGAATTGCTGAAATATTTGTTTATGTCTCAGTAAAGCAAGAAAATCTAAGTATATATTCTGGCTTGTCAGTGTCTGTAATATGTGTTTTAATTAGTTTTAGAAAGAAAGTCTAAAATATGCAGTCCAGAGCCCTATGACAGAGATGAGTGAAAAATCAAAATTTATTTAAATATATCTTTTTGAAGTTAAGACATTCAAACTTGGATAATATAAACATTTGAATTATATACTACATTTTGATGCCAAGGTTATTGATATACATTTATAATAAAGTTGCTTAATCACACATTCAGCTGTGAATAGTGGCATCAGTAAGTATCTAATATGTTTATTTGAGGTAAATATAATTTGTTTTTAGTAGTTACATAAGTTTACAATGGAGCAAATTAGGTCTAACATAAATGCCATACTTGAAATAGCATATATCCCTATTCTCACACAAATATCAAACAGCTATGGGCCTTCTCAATTTAGGTACTTAAAACAATCAGGAAAATTACTCTTTGAATAAACTGAAAAATTTGTTAATGATGTGGCTAAGTTTGTATTCTCACGCTACCGGGAAAATGGGAAACAGCTTAGAATAATGATATCATTCCTGGACACTATACACGACAAAAAAAAATAATGACCCTTATTTTTTCTTCTTCTCTTTGTTTGTGATTTCTTCTTAAATGAGTAATAGAGAAGCTTTTTATTTACCATCATTCAATTAATTGTGAAAGTATTCATCTGTTAATATATTTATAGAAGATAAGAATATATGCATGTAAACTAAGATAAATACTTCTAGAAATGTTGCAAAAAACTGAAACCCAAATTCCAGCTTGGTGGGAATGCTATGTAGTGGCACAAGCTGTATGCTTCTGTTTACACTTAAATCTATCAAATGTATAATCATATTTTGATATAAAATCAACTTTATAATAACACATGATAATTGTTGAAACTTTCCCATGGTTTTAGATTTTTTGAAGGTGTTTTCTATTTATAATAAAAAACCTATGGGTAGATGCAAATTTTGTACCATCTTGTTCCCAAAGCATTAACATCTAACTACACTAAATCCTCTGTGAAGTTACCATATACATTTTGTGCTTGTTTTATTCTTACATAAAATTTGTCCTCAAACAAAGAAAAAGGAACTTGTGGCATAAAGAATGGCTCATAATAGTTTTTCTAACTTTAGGCTTTTGTTTTATACTTTGGTTTTTAACACTGTTATTCAAAAGTATAAATAAAAAATAACAACAATAAAACCTGCAGAAGTACAGCTATGGCAAGAAGGTTATTTTGAAAGCCTCTTCTAAATAACTGATAATTTGGCTAATATTTTGAAACATGAAAGAAATATTTAATAAAGTAATTTGTATCATTTCATTACTATTCTAAATTATTTTAGATATGAAAAGAGATCAAATTATTTTTGAGTATTCAAACTTGACACTTTCAACTAGCTTGTAATGGTGCGCTATTCTCAGGTAAAACTGATTTTTCCTCAAGAGTGACAAAACAGAAAATATCTTGCCAAGTAAATCTGTACTCTCTTTACCTGACAGTTTGAGAAAGATACTGGGGATAATGTAAAATGCAAATAAACAATCTTTATTCAACAACACAATCAATTGTATGTATGTATTTATTTGGATGAAATACAAGTCTTTACAAGAGAGAGAGAGCTCTGTTAAAATTAGTATAAACTGTAAGTCTCTCAAAAAGCTGTTAAATTGGCAAAATTCTGGCCCAGATTAAAAAAATTGACATTATATACATGAGACAATAAGGCTAAACTTTCCCGGGGCAACTTGTGCTACTTACATGACTGTCAGTCATTCCCATGATTATAAGGGGGATTATATACTTGAGATATCATCTGAACAGCCAGTGGAAAAAAAAAAAGTTTCTCTCTACCTTGATACACAGTTTGTACAACTTTGCAAAAAGCCTTCCAACAGGAATACAAAGGGGATACTTTGAGTGAATGACACAGAACAATAGGTAGCTAGGGCAAAATAAGATTAATGGGTTCATTAACCAATATGTTATGTGAAAACTGCACACATATGAATATATGAAAAATTGTGAAAATATTTATGTTAATACAAGGAGAGGTTAAACAAATATACCTGCATGCTACAATGGATTATTTTGTACCATACACAGCTCAATGCTATATTCTTGTATTGACTTCTTTGGGTTCACATAATAACAGCCTGATGATTTCACTCAAGCCATCCTTAAATTTTTTTGTACCAAATTGGATCCTACACAACTTTTTGTCCCCTGTTGGGACAGAGGTAAGTCTATAGATTTACAATACTAAAATCAGGGGTTTGATTTCCCTCAGTGGACACAGCAGATAGCCTGATGAGGCTTTGCTATAAAAAACACTCTCTCTTTCACAAACTTTTTCTTTGTAAATATTTAATTTTTATTTTCAGGTGATTAAAAAACTGAATAAGCATATAGTTACTAATTATGATAAAACTTGAAATATTTTATTTCTTTAATGTTCTGATTATTTTTTAATTTCTTTTTTAGTGTGTTAATACCAACTAACCATATGAATGTTAGTTAATAATGTTTATGGTAATTTTAAAATTGATCTATATATAATGTTCACCTTGTTTTATGTTTCTATGTATAACAATTAAAAATTGTAAACCAGCCTTGGCTATGAGCAAGAGAGTATAGGAGCTAAAAAACACTCCCATAAAGTTTATGAAGCAAACTATTTGTTATTGATGCTATGCAGTTAGAGTATGCTTATAATTAAGTGACTTGTATTCCTTGTACAACTGTTTTGTAATATCTTACCATACTTTTACCTTGCTAATGTGTGCTAGTACTGACAATATGCAATACAAATCTTCTACATAAAAGTTGTTATTTTTGTTACTACCATTTAATCAAAGAGGTCAGGAAGACTGTAATACTGATTTATTGAAACAGTCTCCATTTTTGTTAAGTAACTAGAAATAAACATACACACATAAAAAAACTATGCCTGATCTGTGTTTACTATAACAGACTCATTTAGTTATAACTGTTTTATGACATGAAATACATGAGACCCCAAATTTTTATATTTGTTTTAATTATGCTGAAAATATCATTCCACTTGATGGAACATACTAGTTGCTACACATTGCTGTTTTCAATATATCTGTATAGTTTATTAGCACAGTTACAGACCAATAAAAACATTGTAGATGGTTTTAGTTAACCAGTAATAAATGTAATTATTGAATTATGCATTCCTAATGTTAGGATGAAGATACAAATAAAATTTACCTTTAAAGCAATTAACCTTACAAGAGGAAATTGCATCCTCTAATTTTGGAAACTCCTGTTTGTACTTTTTTCTTCTTCTTCACTTACTCTTAATGAGTGATTAGCAGTAAAGATGTAATGAAAACATAGATGTTTTTAACCTTATTTAAATGATTGTGAAAAGTGTGACTTACAAAAAGTGGTAGTTGTTTAAATTGAAATATTCCCCAATATTGCATTTTGAAATGACTGGTTCATTTTAGAAACTTAAGTTTTTGAGAGAAAGTACATATGTAAAAATAAATATTATGAACAAATGTTTTATTTAAATCTTAAAAAAGTACCTACTGTAATATTAAGTCTGAGTATAAATGTTGTTTTGGTCAAATCAAGAAAGTCCTTAAAAAAGATAATTTGACCATAGTGAAATTTCATTACTTTATTTATTAAAAAATCTAAATAAGCTTTCAAAACTCTTCACAGAAACAAAATAAAAATCTGTGCAAAACCTTAGTTAAAATTAGGGTTAAGATGTGCTCCATAAATACTTTTATAGGTAGGTTAAGATGTTTGACAGTACAGAAAATTCATCTATAAAGGTCCTGTTTCTTTTCAGGATATACCAGGTAAAATAGCATCAGTAGAAATACTTTGTGAAGTCTGTCGCCTTGCAAGAAATGTTCCTGCAGGTTTTGAACCTCAAATTGTATCTTGTCTTCTTGATGTTCTTAAATTACCAAATTATCAGGTGCCAGATGATCTCATGGTCTCAGTAGTAAGAACAGTTCCTTGGAGTGAAGATGTAAATTCTTTCCTTCTAAAAGTAGAATCTTTCAATAAAAAGGAATTAGTTTAGTGTGTGAAATTATTTAAATTGTACCAAAAAATTTCTTCATAATTAGGAAGTATTTTTAAATCAACCATGTATTTAAAAAATGCTCATTGATGTTATTGTTTTTTCAAAGTTTCGAATAGATAAATCCTACAAATTCAAAATTATTTCATTTAATGACCATTATAAAAAGCTCTGTCAAGATAATTAGATATTGTGGTTATTAGTTGTACTTTGCTACTACATCTTTCCAGTTTGTCTCTATTTTTAACCATATTAAGTACTGAAAGACATCCCCTCCCCCCTCTCTTCAAATAGAATATATTTTTTCAGATAGATGCTGTGAAAATAAAATGCACTTAGAAATGAAATAAGGATTGACAAATACAAACATAAAACTGCATTACACGCCTACTTAAAAAAAAAAAGGAAAAAAGAGGTAAACACTGGCAAAAGTTATATTTAAACAGCATAAATGTAACCACCAGACATAGTATGTTATACTTCGTCTAATATTTGCCTTATATCCCCATTTCTGAAGTCTGTGATTATTTTTATATCATTTATTGCATCACCTGTACTTTAGACAGGTGTTGCACCAGTTAAACAATGTTGAAACGTTTATCTTATTACTGAAGCATTGATTAGTTTATCATCAGCTAAACACAAGCCCCCATCCCCAATGGCTCAGTGATAAGCCTGAATGCTTTGATGCTAAAATCTGGGTATTGATACCCTTGGTGAACACAGCACAGATAGCCATTTACAAACAGTCAGCTAATCAATGTGCAGTTGCTTTGATGTTACAAAACATACACTGCTATGCTCTAATAGTTATTAACCAGTTTATTTAACATGTCAAAAAGAAGTTTCATAGCTTTTCTTCTGCTGTACAGTGTATAACAAAAGTTATGCTTCTCTATGCTAGTTTGTAATTTTGATGCAAAATTTGTCAAAAAATAATATCTAGATAAGTCATTTTAGTATGCACAAAATTAAAACATTTCATTATAAAGAGTTGCATTTTGTAATGTTTTGTTCTAGGCTAAGCTTAGAAATTAAAGCAAAAAATGAACTTTTTCATAAAAATCAGTCTATATAGTTAGGTTCGTTAATAATTTTCGGCAATGTGGGCAAGAGTCAAAGAATTTTACTGACTAATTCGTAACTTAGTGACCCTTGACTTGTAACTTTTTGTTTTTTTATTAAGCACAAAGCTACACAATGGCCTATCTGTGCTGTGCCCACTGTAAGTATTGCAACATGATTTTATAAGCACTAAGATCAAGGGCAACTCATCAATAAAAAATTACAAAAAAATATCTTATATTATTATTTATAAATACAGACTGGATGTAAAGAATACTTTGAATGCCAGAATTTGGCAAGTAATTAAGTGTATCTGTTGCAAAATATACATGTAAAGGAAAATTATTTTAAATAAACATGCAGACTAATAGACCCCAATAATTATACACAACATTCTAATGGTTACACTAAAAGAAACAATTTGGTGTGTTGTATTCAATATATAAATGATATATGTTTAATTTTCTTTTTCAGGGATTATTGTACTGTTCAAAACAAGTTTTTTACAAGCTTTTAGACTTAAAAAATAAATGTCTGTATGTAAATAAGTTAAGAGGAAGGTAGAGAACATTCACAAAAACTGAAAACATTGGGCAATACATTGCATATTATCAAAAGTTAAAGGGTCAATTATAATTTCTTGCACCTATGATTGAACAAAATAACAATACTGGTGGAGTTCATTGTGCACAGAAAGATATGAATAGTAGTTTATAATCTGATATCTAAATGTATTCAAAAAGTAATAAAAAAGCATATTTTCAGTTGTTTCCTGACAGTGAGCAAACAAACACGTTTTACTTCAGATGTACATCAATATGTTATGTAACATGAAACTAGAATTAACTTTCTTTCAAGTTTTATATGAACTCTTTTAAGCTTAATGCTAACATTTAACCTTTCATTAACATGTTGTGGAACCAAATTGCAATCTTTAGGTTTAGTGAAGTTTAAATCTTAACTACCTTAAAGATACATATTATTATAAAGTACTAAAATAGTAAACTGCTTGGCAGACTTTATAAAGATCACTAACTGCAACAGCTGATTTAAATCAAGATGCTCGGAATAAAGAAGCTTGAACATTCAAAGAAGGGTGGTTATTGGATGAATCATTTGTTGTAAGAGTATCTGAGACTTATCACCCCAGTCTACTAATAGCTTAATCCACTTGTGCAATTTGATGATGAAATGAAAGACTACTGAACATGTCTTTGTTTAATACCAGCCAGGTCACATAAACTCAATGGCTTTTTGTTTCTTGCAAATTTATATATATGCCAAGAAATGAAACTATATACTAGCATTAAATCACTTAGGATTTTAGTGAGCATTCAGAACAGCAGAGAGCTTGGAATAACTGAGCTGTGATACATAAATTGTTCATTATAGCTGTGAATGTGAGACATTGGCTCTCATATTGTCTTGAGCATCAACATTGAAAAATAATAAAACATCAAGTGCAGTAATGAATCCCAGTACTGATGGTTTCCTTTGGATAGATATGATTGGGTTTGATGACATCTTTGATAACACTTTGGAAACTGTGTAATCTCAGCCATGAAAAGTGGGGTAGTATCATGGCGAGTTTCATTGATTTGAACTTATTTTACTGAAAATAGTTAGAAACTAAAGATTCTGTGCTGGTTGCATTGATAGATTTACATGGGGAAGGCATACAACTTTCAGTATGATAATGCACCTTCTCACATTATTTGTTGTTGTGTTATCAGCAGTTTGAGACAAGCAGTGTCCAGAAGCCAACCCAGTGCTTTGACCTGAATCCATCTAAGGGACAGACCCTAAAATCTCTGCACATGAAAGGAAAAGATATGATTATATGTTTTTACTAATATTTAGTGGCAAGTATTAGTAACATAATCTAGGATGCATTAATACAAAATATGACTTCCTTTTTTAATAGCTTTGATAATGTATAACATGTTAAGTGTTTGAAAATAAAACACTGAGCCTTAATGAATCACTTGTTGATTAAACAACAAGAGAAAAGTTGACAACTTTCCAGTTGCAAGATGAAATGCCTGTGAAGATCTTTCTAAGGTTCAGAAAGCTAGGGAACTTTTAAATTGTAACATTTAATGTTTAAGTTATACAATATATTTTGGGAAAAAGCCTTAATCCATAAGCCAAAATACACTGCATGTAATAAGCCTACGTGAAACAACAAGAGTCACAAGTAGTGTTTGAAAACTGATGAACTTTCACTAATGCTATTTACCTATAGTTAAACATTTGTTCCTCTATCAAGTCTTTATTTTCTCTTTACACTGTTTGCAAGATGTTCCCTTAGAGATAGTAATATTCTACTTGTCAGTCATAAGTATACATGGTATATTGGTCTTCTGATATCCAAGAAGAAAAGGCAAAACTTCCCACAAAATGTAGGTTCAGGATTGCTATGCAAAGAACAAACTTTTGGAAAACAAGTGTAGTTTGAAACACAAATTCTTTTTTTTTTTTATACTAAAAAACAGTATTCTATGTTAAAACTGCATACATCTGAATAAGTGAAAACTAACATTTCTGTATTAAAACAAGAGAGTAGGAAACACATAGTGTACCTGCATACCAAACGCACACATGCTAGCTTGAGGCTTAAAAACAAAGATTGCAGTATGTATCCTTTACCAGTGTAAAAGGATTAGCAATGTTTATGACATTGAGACATCCAGTCAATGGGAATAGCACAACTATGCAAGTGAAAATACCTGACTAAAAATATATTCTACACTAGTTATAAAGGGGTAGAATTTATAAATTATTTCAGTCATTAGACCCTAACCCTTTATATCAGGGGTAGCTTTGCCACAGGCTGAGATTAATGTTAATGAACAAGTAAATAACTGCTCACCAAATGTGGTAATAGTTTTCATCAGCTGACACACAACACCTAATCAAAGACGAGGAAGGTTAATACAAAACTCCTGTAGGCAATTAGAAAAACAAAAGATAAAATAGACCTCAAAATAATGATATAAGTGTAGATCATATTACTACTTAGAATAGGATTTAAACGACAAATCCAATAAATCGTAAATTTGAAATTAAATACAAAGGAAACGATAAATTGAGTTATTAGTAATCTCTAGTCTTAAACAAACACTACAATTTTAAATATAATTTAACAGCATACATCATAAATCAAAAATATAAAATACAAACCAAAGTAAACACAAAATCAATCAATTATGAAAGAATCAAAATAAAAGAAAAAGCACAGTTCACATTAAATTGGATTATTTAGAATATGTATAGTGTTTTACAACAGGTCTGTGTGTCTTTCTTGGTGTTCAAGTCTTGGATCATGATCACCTATTCAACCATGGTGTGCTATTTCATCAGCAGTTGATAAGGTAGGCACTCCAATGATGCATAGCGTAATAAGTAGTAGACTGTCGGTTCATAAAGCCACATTTGAAAGTGTTTGGATTGTTTAGCCAGAGGATGGTCGGTAGTTCATACAGCAATATAGGGTTGAAGGCACAAGCTATCACCTTGCTCAGTGGATGGTGACCTAGAATCTTTGGATGCACAATCTAGCAGGATTCATAGTGACAGTATTTAAGACTGCTGTGATCAATGCTGGCATCATAGAGATGAAAAAAAAAACACCTCTAGCCAGCTGCCATTTCAGGAATGTGATTTCTCCCACTCTTATATAGAGCATAAAACAAAGCTCTAGAAGATTGTAGACTTAAGACCAGTTCCCTTACCTATGGAGCTAAACAACACTCAGATCTCGTCTTGCATTCTGATGCAAGTCAAATATAATCTGAATAAATATATCATCTCTCACTTTACAAATAAATCGAGAATTACATTTGCAGCATTCAAACCAAAATCACGTCATAACACTTCAATTAAATTTAGTCGACATATAATTCGTGTATTATCACTACCTTACTCAGAGATTATATCAAGACTAAACGTTTTGTAAGGTCTGTGAAGTCCTAAAAGAGTATGATGTATAGCACCAACTTTATTTCTGAATTAAAACTACTCAACAACAATATGGGTGTTATGTTCTCTTTCATTTTGAATGACCAAGTGATTCTTGTTCTACCTTTAAAGACTAAGTCACGTAACCTAAGAATACTTTTACGTCTCTGTTCGTTTGTTAATTTTCCGTATAATTTATTTCCGATGAAACTTCAGCGACACAAGTCCTTTCTTAAATAAAACTAGTTTATTCCCTCTCAATACAACTTTATAATACACTTAATTTCCACAGTCTTTTTTTACTTAAACACATGCTATAATTCACAACGATTCACGCACTTTACTTCCACGCTTGACTCAATAGTCCGTCTCTGTCTGTCTGCAATTATCTATATATCCATGCTGTCAATTCTCGCCAGTCTTGTATACTATAAGAGCGCATATCTAGCAAACCCTAGCATCTTCGCAAAGCTTCTAGATGCTCACCACGTGTTACCAGTGTCGCGTGACTTCCGCTGTCGTGACACTGCCCCTTCTTTAGTATTGTTCGTCCTGAACAATAGCCACTTAAATTAAACCAATAGATAATTAACAATAACTTAATTAAACGTACATAATTTACAAACAAAATTAAAATTCAACAAAGTATTAATTTTACGAGATGTATCTTCTTCAGTACTGGTCTCCATCTAGTTGGCTTCTGCTTCATGTGAGGTTCATCTGCTCCATCGGGAATTGTCCTATCATCGGTAACAGTTGCATCAGTGGTAGTAACTTCATGAAGGGCTTCACTGTTTCCCTTCTCAAAATCGAGTAGAGTTTCTTCTTCGACAGTGGTTTTTCCAGGTGACACATCTTCAGCGGCGTCTTTTGTTCCGTTGTTCACTTCATCCCAACTGAAATGTCCTGGATCATGATAACGCCAAAGCCTGTTGGCATGCACCACCTTTGGCTTACCTCTCCGACCACATTTTATTCGGAAAGTCACATCTGAGAGACGATCCACTATGTCATATGGGCCTTCCAATGGAGAAGACAACTTAGGAGACTTCTCTTTGGTCTTCCCGGGATTATACAACCACACTTTGTCTCCTGGTACAAAGCTGACTTCAGTAGACTTTTTATCATAACATAGCATCATCGAATCAGCAGACGTTTTCAAGTTTGAACGCACTTGATGGTGAATATTATCCATCCTTTCCAATAACACTTTCACGAACTCTGCCACATTTTCAGGCAACTCTCCGCAACTCTCATTTAACAGATCCACTGGCAACCAAAGTTCCAGACCAAACATCAACTTGGCTGGGGTGTATCCAGTGGCTTCATGCTCTGCTGTTCTATTGGCCATCAACAGTGGAGGGAGTAAGACATCCCAGTCATCTTGGCAGCTATTACAAAACTTTGCCAATTCCTGTCCCATTGTACTTTTCTACCATCCCATCAGACTGTGGGTGAAGTAGTGTTGTTCTGGTCTTTCGTATGCCAAATAACTTGCAGCATTCATGGAACACAGCTGATTCAAAGTTACGGCCTTGATCTGAATGCAGTTCGTATGGCAAACCAAATCTGAAGAAGAAATCATTAATAGCCGAAGTTACAGTTGTAGCTTCCAGATTTGGTATTGCATATGCCTCAGGCCACTTGATGAAATAATACATCACCACACAAATGTACCTGTTTCCAGCACGAGTTTGGGGGCAAAGGACCAGCAATGTCAACAGCTACTCTTTTCATTTGTGTGCCAACTTGATATAACTTCATTGGAGCACATCCCTTATGCTTGGGTCCCCTTTTAGCACAAGTACTGC